CATCTTCCCCTTATGAGTGGCTGTGATTTAAAGGATTGTGCCACCATTCCTAGCTTTCTAACTGAAAGTCTGTGTGGAATTGCTGTCCTATCTTTTTCTCTCATTAATCTGCAATGCTATCTTAGATAACTCACTTCCCCTTTCAACATCTTAGAATCATTAACTAGAAATAAGGGGTTTTTATTACATGGCTTCCCCAATTTTGGTCTACAGACCATGAGCACAAAAATCAGTCAAGAAGCTTTTAACTTTGTCACAAATCAGCTTGGCAAGGTAGCTCAAGTTTCTAATCCTAACTACTCAGGTGGTAGAGATTGGGAGGGTCACAGTTTGAGGACAGTCTGGACAAAAAGATCATGAGACCCCATCTCAATCAATGACTGGATGCAGTGACCCACACCAGTCATCTCCAGCTGCATGGGGAACCATGAATATGATGATCACGGTCCAGGATGGACTGAGCATAAAGCAAGATCCTACCTCAAGATTAATCCCAAAAATGCTGGCAGAGATATCAAATGGTAAAGTGTCTGTCTAGTAAGCATGAGGCTCTGAATTCATCCCCAAATATTGCCAAATTTTTTTGTCATGAAGTTTTTGGCAACTCCAATTTTCATAATATCCTCAAAAATGTCAAGTTGTTTCTCAATCTCAGCGTTCTTTCAACAGTTGTGTGCCTTTTGTAGACCACAAGAGACTTTGACAAGGTAATGCTTTGTGACTAGAACATGATCTGTAAACCTGTTTTGAAGTTGCAAAATATGTCAGAGTGTAAGTGTACCCTCTAAACATTTTAGAGAAACTATTTTGAAAACTGCAAAGTGCCTAGTCAATGTCAAAGAGTTGGCCAGTTGTTAAATTAATAACCAATTATAAATTTCCCCGGGTGTGGAGTTTTTGTTTTTCCTGATTGATCAGGACAAAAGTTCTGTTTTCATCTTACAGCGTGGGTTGCATCATCATGGTTAACTGCCACCACGCCCCCACCACCATGTACCATAAGCCATGCTCACCTAAGACAACCAAATGCTTAAGGAGGATCAAGAGTGTGAAGTTGAGGGTGATGCTGGAGGTCTCAGTGCCAAAAAAGAACAGCAAGAGCACTGTGTGGATAAAATTCTTATAGTGAAACTCACTCTCAGGAATAATGTGTTCCTGTGGGTGATGATGTGTGATCCTTAAAGGCTCTCCTTCTCTTTAAGATTTCCAGTCTTTGGATCTACTTATCTACTCACCCACCACAACCATGTTATTCTGTACCACTTGTTCCTTTTCCTTATTTCTTTCTTCTTCTACTCATAGTCAACAGAGTAGCAATACAGTGGGCTCTGAAGATGCACATCTTGGTTTCTAAGTCAATCCCCACTATTTTTTACCTGTGTACCTTTGGGCAAGGAACATAACCGTTCTGTGCCTTAGTTCATCATCTGGGGTTCTCCAATGTTATGAATGTAAGTATTATATAAATGTAAGTGATTAATTTTTATTATTGTTCTTAGCTTCTCTTTCCTCAGATGTTTTTCCTTTCCTGACTGGTTCTTCCACTTATTTATTTAGGGAAGATAATGGAAATATTTCACAACTACGTAGACATTTTCCAGGCCAGTTACAACAGAGCTGAGCTGGGAACAATGAGAACAGAGGTGGGTCTCTGGCCAATCAGAATCAGAGGAAGGGGCTGAGCATACTAGCTCTACCTATGATCCATGAGAGTCTTTAGGTAAGAGGATTGTCACATGAGGCCTGCTCTGAGCACAAAACATGAGACCTTAACTAAAGGCAAAAAAAAAAAAGACTGGGGCATAGCTCAATCATAGATCACATGCCTAACAAGTACAAGGTCATGAGGAAGGAGAGGAAGCAGGTGAAGGGTCTCAGGGCTGTTAACTCTCTAGTTGTCACCTCTTAGCTGACAATACTAGTTAGACTGAGAAAAGAACGGGGCAGGGGACAGAGAGGGGGTCACTAGCATTCTTAACAATTTGTCAGGAGGTATTCGAACTGAAACAACACACACATCTGTACCCTAACATGCTATCTTAATGTCAGCTCTTTTTCACCCACTCCCAATCCAGTCTGGCCCTTGCCTTGTCCACGTGGATCAAGAAGGAATTGATGGAGTCCAGTGGGATATGGGGGTCCAACGTTTGCTGGTGCTTCTTCAGGACTCAAGGATAAAATCTTTCAGTTTTTGAATGTTCCTGTACATGTGAGTGTGAGGGTCAGGAAAGTGCTTCAGAATGCACAGGAAGAGTTCAAAAAGCTATGGAGAGGCAGAGACCACACAACCTGTCCTGCCCTCTCTGGGATGGTCCTGGAGGCACGAGGCTGCTTCTGGGGATCTTGAGCTTATGCACTGCACAAAACAGCATTGTCTCAAGGGTAACTTGTAGACTTGAAGAATATACCTTCCAGGTTAGAATGTCACACACACACACACACACACACACAGTGTGCTACATGTACAGCCACAATATCCCTTCTATTAGAGAAGCTGCATTTCTCACCACCTCCTTTTTTTGGATACCATATTCCTCACTTAGCATCTCACCTGGACAGTGTAGGGGTGAAGTTTCATTTTTGGCGACATGTGTACCTCAGACTGTAAGGACATGTGTGTGAGAGAGAGTAGGTAAAGGGATGTGTGCACCTGTGCCTGAAACCAGGACTTGGAGAAGTCCCCAAGTCTCTTCAATAGTGATCCAGTAAACAGAATTTTTCCTGAGGAAGGAGCATCATTTTCTATGTTCCTCTGCAAAGTCACTATGAAAAACCACCAGTGCCTTCCCAGATCCACCCACCCCAGTTCCTGAGCCATTGTGAAATCTTTGAGCTCATCTGGCTGTAGAAACTGCTGAAGATAGTGAAGGTATCCTTCAGTATATTTGGCAGCCATAGGAATTTGGGGTCCTTGTATGTAAAGCACTCACCAAAGACAAGCATTCCTTCAAGTGAGCCAAAGAATGAGATGTGTGGAGGCCGAGTTTCAAGTGGTTCCACTGTGAGAGTGGTTCTCAGCAAGATTTGTCACAGGAGATATTATAGCACAAGATTAAGATATGTTGACAGGGAGAATTAGGGCCACCCTGTGCCCTTTTGGAATGGGATTTTATTTTGGGTTTTAGAAGAAAGTGAGATATGGAGATGGAGAAGGCATATGGTCTGATGGAAGAAGTCAATCTCCACTTTAGGTTGACTGAAGCGGTATCCCATCATTTGTTTACTGGTTTATTTCAGAACAAATATTTTGAACACCTGCCATACAGTGCACCGTGCTACAGGTGCTGACAGCAAGCAAGACAACATATTGACCCTTGACAGAACTATCATTGAAGTAAAGGAGAAATCCCCATCAAAAGTCCTAGCCGGGCAGCAGTGGCTCATACCTATAATCCTACTTTCATGGAAGGCTGAGATCGGGAGAACCAAGGTTTGAGGTCAGACTAAAAAATAATTCCTGAGACCCCATCTCCAAATTAACCAGAGAAAAATGGAATGGAGTTATGGCTTAAGTGGTAGAGTGCCTGTTTTGCAGGTGTGGAGCCCTGAGTTCAAACTCCAGTACCACCAAAGTCAAAAAGTCCTTCTGAAAAGATTCTTAGGGAACTGACAAGCAATAGGTTGAATGCAAAGTATCAGATATCATCTTCTGACCCAGGGAAGTCAGGTTTGATGTTTAGTTGATTCTCAAAACATTTAACTTCAGGCAAGGTGACTCACACTTGTAATACTAGCTACTACAGAGGAAGAGATTGGAAGGATTGAGGCTCAAGGTCAGCTTGAGCAAAAAAGTGGGAGAGACTACACCTCAATCCATAAAAAGCTGGGCATGGTGGCACACACTTGTCATCCCAGCTATATGGGAAGTATAAATAGGAGGATGGAAGTCTAGGCCTCCCAGGACATAAATGCAAGACCTTATTTGAAAAATAACTAAAGCAAAAAGGCCTTGGGGCATGGCTCAAGTGGTGGAGCACTTGGAAGGCCCTGAGTTCAAAACTCAGTACTGCCAAAAAAGAAGGGAGAATCAGGTAATCCAAGGATCTAAGATGCCAGTATAGAAACTGCACAGATCAGGGGTCATTGACTGAGGAGACCTTTGCATAGTGAAAAGAAGCAGGGAGGGATGCTGAGTGTGAATGAGACAGTATGCAACCACAGTCTGAGACACAGGAACCTCTAAAAAACTGTGTGAAGTAAAAGACACCAGACACAAAAGATCACATATTGTAAGGCTCCATTTATATGAAAAATCCAGAAGAGGCAAGTCTATAGACACAGAAACCAGATTGGTGCTTTCATGGTCTGGGTGGGGGAATGGGAATGGGGAGTGGCTTCTCCATAGGTACAGAGTTTCTTTGGGCGGGTGACAAGAGTGTTAGAATTAGATGGTAGGCAGTTATTCAACACTGTGAATGACCTAAACGACTCTGACTTGTACACTTTGAAATGGTCAATTTCATGTTGTGTGAAACATACTTTAATTTAAATACATACAGGAGGAGGCACTACAGTGAAGAGTTTGGGTTAAAAGTCAGAATGTGATGTTGCTCCTTCACAAACTGGCACTGTGACCTCAGGCAACTGATGCCGTTGTCTGACCTCCATTACTCATCTGTAAAGGGGCAGAATCATTGCACCCACTCTGTGGGGCTACTGAGGGGAGGATTCAAGAGAAATCATGTGCACAGCCCTTTAGCACATATCACAGAGCACATGAGGTTGATAAATGGGGACTGTGGTTGTTCTAAGCAAGGGAGAAGCCACTCAGCATGAGCTATGGTCTGAAAGGCACAACTACAGGAAGACCACTTAGGGCTTCAAAGAGCTGCAGCATGACAGAAGACTCTAAAAAGTTTGCCATAGTGAGCAACTAAGGATGAGAAGCTGCTGGTTTTACAGTAGGTCTCTCTTAGGTGAAGGGAGCCAGGAGCCATTTCCTACAGAGGTGGGGACACTTAATGACTATGAAATCCTTTTGCCCGCTTCCTTCACGCCATTTAAAGTGGTAGGAAGCGGATCTGGTAAGTTGGAGGAACTCTGCCCAAACCACTCTCCCGGGGTGTGAGATCAATGTCCTTTGGAGCCACGGGGCTGGCCAAGGAGAAGTTCTGGAGGATGGTGGTAAAGAAGAGGAACAATTCATTGCGGGCGACGCCTTCACCAAGACAAATGCGCTTCCCTGTGGAAACAAAGGATCAGCCATGTGGGCACTTAGAAAGTGCAATGTTCTGCCCAGTTTCATTCCTAAGCCCAGACACCTGTGTCCACTTGCAAAAAATGTGCATGTACTTGGCCTTTAACCTGTAATCTATGGTAGTATTTTAGGGGGTTCCCAAACCCTCTGAAACTGGGTGCAGAACTTTAAATGGGTGACCCATGCTCATTGTTCTGAGACAAAGTTTTTGGCTTTTGTTATATTTTCCAAGGGTTCATTGGCCTCACAGGAGATCAGGACCCACTCATGGTTGGATGTAGGGTGTGTACATAAGTATGCACACATTTCTGACTTAATGTCCTTCATTTCTCATATGGGGGACATGGCACCCATCCCATGGGGCTGTTGTGGTGGTAAACTTTACCTTTGTAGAAACTCTTATATTAACCCTATATGCACCCAGGTATAGTGGTTCACACCTGTAATCTAAGCACTAGGGAGACTGAGGCAGGAAGACTAAAAGTTTGAGGCCAGCCTGGGTTGCATAGCAAGTGCCTTTCTTAAAAGAAATCTTATTCGTGTAGCTTGTGCTTGTTTCTGGGAGTGTATGGAGGTGGTATTTCTGGAACTGCATATGTGATGCTCTCTGGATTGTCTTCTGGCCATAGCTTGAGATCTGTGAGCTTCAAGAATTCCCCCTTCTCCTGCACACCCCCACCCCAGGCATGATGGTGCAAGCCTACTTATGAGGTGGAAGTAGGAGGATCAAAATACAAGGTGTCCCCAGTCAATGCACAAGACCCTATCTAAAATATAAACTTAAAAAAAGCAAAAATTGGGGCAGGGCTCAAGTGTCACAGCATTAGCCTAGCAAGCCTGAGACCCTGAGTTCAATCCCCAGTACAGCACCAAAAAAACTCCCCCCCAAAATGTTCATACAATTATGAATATAACTGAAGGACATGTAGAAGGGTTCTATGACCCCACCAGATTCTCAGAGCTGTAATGAACCTGTGCTAGTTTATAAACCATGGACTTGGAGTAGAATGAGAACAAAGGGAGTCTGAAAGTTTTGATGCTTCTTAATCTGCTAACTGGCAACCTGGGAAAGCCAGGTCAAGATTTCCAGGTAGGTTTCCAGGCAGCCCTATACTTTACAGGTTGTTGGAAAATTGTGCCTCCATGGGGAAGGGTAAACATCCTTTTGGCATCTCCAGAATTCAGGAGACAGGAGGGTTTTTTAAGAAACTGGTTGTGTGATCAGATTTTCCCACAAGAGCTTGATGCCTGCTGTTTCTCTCTCAACATACCCTTTCCTTCTTGTCATGTCTGCTTAGATGTCCTTTGATATCTCTTTGGCACTAACAGGCTTTTGGTTCAGTCTATCTTTCTTTCTGCCCTGGGCAGTCTGCCTCTGCTTAGTCTATACCTGTCAAGCACTGTTTTTTGTCCATTTTCTTTTCTGCTAAAAATACCTCTCCATTTTTTCATTCTTCCTCTTCATGCCCAATTTATGTCTCTCCTCTCTCCCTCTTCTTCCTCCTCCTCCTTTTCCTTCCTCCTTCTACTCTGTCTCCTCCTCTCTTCTTGCTCTTCCTCCTCCTGTCTCTCCTTATTCCTTTCTCTCTGCTTCTATTGCTTCAAGTTCAGTGTCTATCTACTATAAGTTTCTCTTTCTGTCATGATATTCCTGTCTCTGTCTCCCTTTATCCACCTCTCTGTTGCATTCTCATCATCTCTCCATTGCTAACTTATCTGTCTCTTTTTTTATTTATCTACATCTCTGCCTCTACTTAAACTTAGGTTAGGGCAACTCAATGTAGAAATGACCCACATCACACCACCCATAAGTTCCCTACTCTCAGGGAAGAGGAAATGAGGGAGGGGCCCATTGCTCTAGACAGAGGAAGGAGCAGGGTCAGAGCCCTGACTCACTGAAGTCACTGGGTGAAATTCAAGCATAGGAACTTGATTCTTGGGCCTTTGTTCTTCCCAAAACAAAGAAACCTGGACATAGGGCTTTTACATGGGTAAAATTCATTTCATTTAGCACTGAAGATTTTATTTAAGTTAAATTAGGCATAATGGTGCCTCTGTACATAGCAATTATAAGCTAATATGTAAACAAACTGATTCTAACAAGTTACCAAGTCTCAGCTAATCATAATAGTCAGCATTAGCCAACCATAGCCTGCAGACGTTCAGACCCATCCAAATAAGGCAAAAGGGGAACTGTAACTAATCCTGCTGTTTCTGTGTGCCCACTTCCTTCTGTCTATAAGCACTACCTGCGCACTTTGCTGGTGGAGCTCTCTGAATCTTTACTGGTTCAGGATATTGTCCAATTCAGGAACTTTTGCTGAAAAATCCTCTATGAAATTTAATTTGTATAGTTTTATTTTTCTTTTAAAACGTCAAAGAGTGGCAAGTGGAAACAGGGACAAGCCTATCAAGACACGCCTCAGCTCACCAGTGTTCAAGGATGGATACAAACTCCTCCCTCAGCCTTCAAGGCCCTGCCCAGCTAAGCTATTCAACCACATCCCCTGACCTTATCTTCACCCAGAGCATCCTACAGCTTCCGGGGCTTTGCCCTGGCTGTTTCCTCTGCCTGGAAAACATTGTCTAGTGACTGATCAATGCTTGCCAATTTGACCTCACCTGAGAAATCAGTTTCCCATGTTAACTCTTTCTCTCTTACTGGTCAAAATTAGTCAGTGTTTACCTCATATTTTATTACACAATTAAAAAAATAATTGCCCCCTGAGGATTTTTTTTGGGTAGTTTTGGTTTTGAACTCAAAGTTTTATACTTGCAAGGCAGGCACCCTACCACTTGAGCCACACTACCAGCCTTTTTGTATTGGATTTTTTTGAGATGGGGTCCCAAGATCTATTTGCCTAGGGCTTGCTTTGAACTTCTATCCTTCAGATCTCTGTGTCTTGAGTATCTAGGATTACAGGTATGAGCCACTGATACTTGGCTTCCTAGAGCATATTGCTTTGTGCCAGGTAGTCCTAAGCACTGGGCATGCATTAAATCATTTAATTAGATTATTGTTGTGTGACAATTTTGTGAATGTCACCTATACTCCTGGACTATGAGTTTCCTAGGGCAGAAACAGTGTCTCTGATTTGTGTGTGTGATTTGTTTGATGCATTATCATTAGCCTCCAATACAGATGGGCTTCTTGTGGTTTATACACTAGCAGGGGTTCCTTATACCTCTGAGAATCTGGTGGGAACCACAGACCCCATCTGCATCTGCATGGGTCTTATTCACAATTCTATGAATATTTCTGGGGGGCTAAGAAAAAAGGCTGAAACCCAGGTGTGTTTCACTTGTTATTTTTTAAGAAAATGAATTTCCTCAGGTTTAGAGATTTTTAATATTTGCCCAAGGTCCTTCTTACCAAAATGTGTCTTCAAGACGTAATCTCACTTCTCAAGGCCTCAAGGCCCCATAAAGTTTTAGTGAAGAAGGTTGGGATACCTCAGGTAAAGCAACTGGAATATATTAAGTACCCAATAAACAAGGACCTATTATTGTCTGTCTCAAGGAGAGGAGGGGACCTGCCATCTGGTGTCTGGGAAAGTGATCGAGGGTCCAGCTTACCTATGGAAAAAGGAATAAAAGCATCATTCTTCTTAAATGCACCATTAGCATCCAGAAAGTGTTCAGGGTTGAAGTCATCTGGTTTTTCAAAGTACTGTGGGTCGTGGAGAGCAGAAGTCAGGATGGAGTAAACTTCAGTGTTCTGGGGAAAAGTCATAAGATCAAAAGATATTGCTATTTTCTGGCCTCCATGTGCAAAAAATGACAGATAAAATGAAACAAAGGCAAGGGATTTACTGAGTTTCCAACAGCGGGGTGATGTTGAATTTTAAGAAAACTGAGACCCATATATGAAAATGGAAAATTGAGACCTGTTGAAACTAAAAGAAAGAAGACAGAGAGAAGGGAAAACTGAGAGCCAGGAATGATGACTCAGGCCTTTTATCCTCACTATATGTGTGGCTGAAATTAGGAGGGTCACAGTTACAGGCTGGCCACATCAAAAAGTTCACAATCACAATAACCCACCTCAACCATGAGTGAACATCTCAGCTGTGGCAAGAAAAATAGAATAGGAAGATCATGGTCCATGCCAGCACAGGTGAAAAACAAGATCTTATCTCAAAAATAACCAGAGTAAAGAGGGCTGGAGGTGTGACTCAAACAGTAGTGCTCTAGTCTAGCAAGTGCAAAGCCCTGAGTTCAAATCCCAGTATTGCCCCCCCAAAAAAGAAAGGAAAACTGAGGTGAGGATTCCCACACAGAGAAGTGGGAGCTAGCTGGTCTCACCTTGGGGATGATGTACCCTCGGAATGCAGTGTCTTTGGTGACCATGTGGGGCACACCGAAAGGGAGGAGATCTGAAAATCTCTGAATCTCATGGATAACTGCATCAGTGTATGGCATTTTGTTGCGGTCATCGAGAGCTGGTGGGCGATGTGAGCCAATCACTTCTTTGATCTCCTTTTGGACTCTTTCTGCACAGAAAAGGGGGACAATGAACCCCACCTGCATAGAGGCATTACAGCAATGATACTGTGGATTTCTATGGATCAATAACTCATGAGAAACCTTAAGAAAAACATTAGATCATTGATGAAGCTCAGATTAGTCAGTGTGTGGTGAGAGCAGGAGGGAGAAAACAAGAATTCACCCTTTGAAATCTAATGAGTGTTGTGCATTATCTCCCCACATGCAAAACTACACACACACACACACACACACACACACACACACACACAAAATTTTGCATGGAATTTTATACTAAGAACTCCAGGCTACCAGTCTATCCTAACTCCCCTTCTAAGATAAATGGAAAACTAACTAATATTTATTACATGTGCGTTACAGGTTAGGTACTCAACTAGGTGTTCAGGAATATAACAGTGGAACAAATCAATAGATTAGTCCATGAACAATGGTACAGTTAGTAAGTATATCAGTCAATCAATCAATGGACAAATCAATTAAGTATGGAAAGATCACTGAATGAATGAAATCAACAAACCAATAAATGGATGTATATATTCAACTCATCAATCAATAGATGATTCAATTAATGGATCAATTAATAAATGGCTTGTGGACAAATCAATGAACCCAACTAAGAAATAATCACATGAATGGTAAATTTTTGAAGGAACTTTTTAATGAATCAATTAGTGAAGATAAATAAGGGAATAAATAAAGGAGTAAACAAAGGAATAAATGAGTGGGTGAACTGAATGATAAGTTATGAAATAAAATAGCTATTAAATGGATAAATAGAGGAATGGGTGGATGAATGAATGATGAATTGAAAGACAGGTTGTTGGGAGGAGTAAGGAATGAAACCTAGGGCACAGCATAAATAAATGAGTTAGCCAAATAACCAATGACAAATAGTTCATTCATCACTATTCCAGGGATCAATTCATGAACTGAAGAATAAAAATCAGTGAATGAAAGTATATGTCCTGGGATGCACTGTAGATGAAACAATCAGCAATTATACAGGTGAATTAGTCAATTAATAGATGGATGATGTATGGGATAATGGTGAGTGGATAGAGGGATAGATAATGGATAGATAGATGCATGGAGAGATGGATGTATGGATAAATGGACGCCTAGCTAGTGTGAGGACCTTAGTTCAAATTCAAGTGCTGCCAAGAGAAAGAAGCCCATGGATAAATGAAGGGATGGATAGATGCATGCATACAATGGACCAATCTTTAAGTAATAGTAGAAAACAATGTAAGAACAAGCAGAAAGATTCTTCAATCACCCATCCATTAACAGGACTGGCTCAGTTTGCTCTAGTCTAAAGCCTGCAGAGCTCCTAGATAAGAGACCAATATTGCCTCTCTCAGCCCTAGACCCACCTCTGCAGCCAAAGGGGAGAAGCAGAACTTCCCAAATGGCTGTCCATGGCTTACCTGCAACATGAGGGTACTTGAGCATGAGCAGGAAGCCATAGCGGAGAGTGGTGCTGCTGGTCTCGGTGCCAGCAAAGAAGAGCGAGAGCAAGGTAAGTATGAGGTTCTGGTGGTGGAACTCAGTGTTCACGTTGGACTTCTCCTGGTTCCAGAGGGGCAAGAGGGAGAGGGAGGGTCAGGGGACACTGGAGCCTCATTGCAGGAAGGTGTACACTCTCTTTGGACACCCTCCCTCTGTTTCTGGGTCTCACACTATCTGGTCTACTTTGTGTTTCTCTATCCTGAATGCATCCAACCATTCATCTTTATCTCTGTTTCTCCAGCCTCTCTACTCTGACTTCTATATCACTTTCTCCAACCCTTGGTATGTTTCTCACTTTCTGTCTCCCAGTCTCTTTTTACCTTGTGGGTCTTTTCTCCTACTTTTTGTACCTTGCCTTGTAATTCTTACTCAAGTAGTCCACCTTCTCTCTCTCTTTCCCTCCCCGTTCTACTTCCTCCTCTCTTTCACTCCATCCCTTCTGTATCTCCTCCCTTCCTTCTACCTATTCTTTCCTCCCATTCTCTGCTCTTTGCCTCCCCCTATTCTCCTTTCCTACCCCTTCCCCTTCCTCCTTCTCAGCCCTCCTCTCTTCCATGCAGATCCTACTTTCTCCATGCGCAGCAGGTAGGAGTCAATGAAGTCTCTTGGGGAGCTGGGGTCCAGGGTTGCACGGTGCTTCTCCACACTGTGGCCAGTGAAAGTTATGATTTCCTGCAGATTTTTGTGGATTTGCCTGTGTGTGCCAGGAAAGTACTTTAGGAAGTCAGAGAAGAGTTCAAACATCTGCAAGAAAGAAGGGGCTGTGAGATACACCTGAGGATGGCTATATGTCTCAGGGAATAGACAGCACTCAGGCTGCCAGAGTGGCTCAAGTAGCAGAGCACCTGCTTAGCAAGCATGAAGCCCTAAATTCAATCCCCAGTACCACCAAAAAAGGGAGCACTCCTAGGCACCCATACCACATGGGAAAACTCTCTCTGTACTTCTCCCTCTCTCTCACTTCTCAATTTTCCTTTCTCTCCTGAGTCTTCATTTTCTTGATGTCTCTCTGACTCTATTTCTGTTTTCCTCTTTCTTTCTATCTCTCCATCTCTGTTCACCATCTCCCCCTCCCTCTAGATCTCATCCTCTCTGTTTCTCTCTGTCATCCCTGCCCCTCTTCCAGTACACTTCCACTTTTGAGTCCCCAAATGGAAACTTTCCCCCCTGCCCTGGATGTTCCCCTCAGTCCCACCCATCCACTCCCTCCTCCTGACCTGGCCATAGAAGGAACTCATGAGCATAAACGTCTGATAGAACAAATCCATCAGCCGCAGGAATTGATGGTCCTTATAGTCAAATCGTTCTCCAAAGACAATGGAGCAGATGATGTTGGAGGTGATACACTGGAAGAGGAAGGTGGGGTTCAGGAGAGCTCCTAGGAGAAGGAGGGGTCAGGACATGAGATACAGAATCAAGAGTCTGAAAAACATTTGGCTGCTGCCCCATCTCTGTGTGACTGCTCTCCATTGTTCAGTAATAAAAGATAAGAATATCAATAATAACTAACACTCACAAGCATGTATTATGCGCCATTCCCGAATCTAAGCACTTTACACATTGTTTTATTTTTAATTCTCATCACAACATCATAAGAACAATGCAATTCTATTATTACTCCCCACACTGTAAATGGATAAACACAGAGGTTAAGTGATTTGACCAAAGTAACACAGCTACTCATTACTGGGGTCAGGATTCAGACACAGAAGCTGAGAGACAGAGACAGGGTCTGGAGTGGGCAGGGTCGTGTTCAATCAAGTGCTTGTGCAAATTTAAAGGCCCTGACACCTCCATCCCTATCTATCACTCTTCCTTTCTCTCCTCTTTCTACTTCTAGGGCTCTCAGGTCTTCCAGGAATCATTCTTCAATTGTGACGTGATGCCCATGTATGACAGGCTCAGTCCTTACTGTTGTGGATGGGAGAGGGGAGCTAGAGCCTAAGAACATTAGGTTTGTGTGGCTGATTCTCTCTGGGTCTCACCTGTTTGTCTTCTCTCACTCTTCTGCAGATCTTCCCCTGAATCTTGTCTGTCTTTCTTTATTCTCTGTCTCAGTTTCCCTCTGCCTTTCTGACTCTCTTCTACTCTCTCTCTCTCTGTCCTTGTATGTCTTTCTTTTCCTTTTGACCTCTTCCTGTCTGTCTCTCCTTCCTTGTTTCTCTGTGTCACAGTGCTTCCTCCTTCCTTCTCAGTCTGTCTATCACTATTGCTCCCTTCCAGCTTCTATACTGACACCTCAGAGTCTTCTGAGAAATGCTAGTGAGAAAAGGTGGTGGACACCTGTCAGAATGACTACAATCAAGAAAATAAACAACATGGGGTAAAGATGAGGGGAGAAAGGAATTCTTATTCACTGTTGTTGGGAATGCAAATCAGTGCAGCCAGTATGGAAATCAGTATGGAGTTTCCTCAAAAACTAAAAATAGAACTACCATATTATCCTGCTATACCACTCCTGGACATACATGCACTGGAATTTAAATCAGAATGCAATCAAGATACTGCACACCCATGTTTATATCAGCACTATCACAACAGCCAAAGTATGGAATCATCCCAGGCACCCATCAATGGATGAATGGACAAAGAAAATGTGGCATATATAAACAATGGAATATTATTCAGGTATGAAGAATATGTAGTTTGCAGGAAAATGTATGGAACTAGAGATCATCATGTGAAACAAATAAGTCAGACTGAGAAAGACAAATATTGCATGTTTTTCTCATATGCAGAATCCATGCTGTTTAAAATGACATGGAAGTAGAGGGGAACTGTTTGGAAAGAGAAAGAGGACTGGCATGAAGAGAGAGAATAGAAGTTAATGGGAAGTGAATATGATCCAAGTACATAATATACATATATATAATATAAACATATATATACATATACATATTATATATATTATTTATAAATGTATATACATATATATAATCCATAAAAAAAGAAAATGAGAGGCCGGGTGCCGTGACTCATACCTATAAACCCAGCTACCTGGGAGGTAGAAATGAGAAGAATTGGGGTACAAAGCTAGCCCGGACAAATAGTTTTTGAGGGGATCTGTCTTGAAAATACCCAACACAAAAAGGGCTGATGGAGTAGCTCCATCAGAGCTACATCAGGGTGGTAGAGTGCCTACCTAACAAGCACAAGAGCCTAAGTTCAAGTCCCAGTACCTCCAAAGCTAGTTTAAAAAGAAAAATGAGAGAAAGAGGCACTAAAAGGGGGGCATGTCACCAATATGCCCCCCTTACAGAGAACCCACAAGTTACAAAGTATGTTCCTCTGGCTGCCCAAAAGCAGAGCACCCCCACCTGTCTCTTCGTTCTTTGCCCACTCACCAGCACTTCCCCAAGGTAAGAAAATTATACTTTTCTTATTTCTAAATGCCTGTCATTCCTCCTTTTCTCTTTGCTTTCTTTTACAGAAGCTCTGTTTTACCTTTGGCACACAAAATTAATCCATGAATTGGTTTCTCTGAGCATAATTAAGCAACACACTAACTCAACATTTCTTGAATTATTCTTGCACAATATAAACTTCCTCTCTCAATCTCTCTCTCTCTGTCTCTGTCTCTCTCTCCTGAACCTCTATCTCTATCTTCATATCTCTGTCCATGTACACCTCTGTCTTTCTACGGTTGTGTACCCATCACTCTCTTTTTCACTATCTTTGTTTTCTTTCCTTCCCATCCCCTGAGACTTACCCTTGGATTTCCGCAGCTCCTCCACCAGGCACTGAGCCTCCTCCTGAATCCGCTCCTCCACACTCCGCTTTCCCATCCCGAAATCCCTCATGGTAGCCAGAGAGAAGCGCCGAAGGGCCTTCCAGCGTTCCCCATTGGCAAAGACCACACCTGGAGGCAAAGTAGGCATGGGTTACAGAGGAAGTTCAAAGGATACTGGATTCCTCCCTATCCCTTGTCCTTCTTTCTCATACTTAACTTCTCTGGATCCCACCCTCCATTCCACCCCCTCTTGGTGCCTTTGCAACCCTCACCATATCCCTGGAAGACTTGCTCAATAGTGGCAATTGTCCCTCGGCCAGAGAACGCCTCGGCTTGGTCCACCAGGGCCTCCCGTATGGTGTCTGTACCAAACAGCATCACCACAGGCCTACGTCCCAGGTACACTGTGAACACATCTCCATATTTTTCTCGAAGCTGTGAAGCATAAAGAAACAAAGGTTGCTATTATTCATTACACAGTTTGTTGGTAAACTATTAAAAACACTCAGATACAGATTGGTAATTAGGTGTTTTCCCCCAGGACCCTCCACCCTAGGCTACTACTCCAAGGATCCAACAACTGAAGTGTTCATCCATGACCCAAACAGTATCTGCTGTGATTGGTTGGGGCCCAAGAAGTACTGATGGTTAAATATTTGTAGCATTTTCCTTGACCGTACCCTTCAATCTGTCCAGATAGTCCTTACATCTCAACCAACGAATCCTCTATTCTGTGTTCTAACTTCCACCTGCTTTCTGTCTCCTGACAACTTTCAAAGAAAATGACCCTGGCCCACTCACTGGGTAGACGTGAAGTGGAAATAATGGTCCCTTAGCACAATCCTGAAATATGAAAGATCATCAGTATAGTTATTTGAGAAACTGCTGGACAACTGTCAGTCTTTGGTGTCCTTGGAGAACAGATCCCAGGACCCCTTTTGATACAAAGTCCTCCAATACTCAAATCCCTTATATAAAGTGGTGTAGTGTTTGTCTGTAAACTATGTTTAGCCTCCTGTATATTTAAAACTCTAGATTACTTAGATATCCAATAAAATACAAATTCTAAGCAAATAGTCATTGTTTAGAGAATGCTAAGAAAAAAGTCTATACTTGGCACATTTTTTCAAGCATTTACGCTCAAGTATAAAGCACATGGTTTGCAAGGGCAAAGTCCTTAGTTTAAACCCCAGTCTCAACCAAAAAAACAGACAATGAATAAAAGGGGAGAAAGGAGACAGTGAGACAGCAAGAGTTGGAGGGGGGCATCAAAGTGTGTGAGAGGAAGCACAGTTGGGGCCCAGTTACTCTGTGCAGGACTTGAAAAAAAACTTCCTTAAAGAGGGGCTCAGTGTGGGGAGGCACAGCTTAAATGGTAGACTGCTTGCATGGCATGCATGGGTTCACTCTCCAATACTGTAAAAAAAGAAAGGTTTCAGTGAATTGAATAGGAGATGACATTTTTGTCCAGAATTTACCCCTTAGCTTATTTCCACTTTCCTAAATCTTGTCACAAGTCCCATGCAGATGGGTGTGAGCACCATCTTGGCATGACACAACTCTAACAACATCTTATGTAATCATGTAACATGTAATCTTTACTCCCTTCTCTGTAATTCCTCTGAAGAGTCCAAGGGGTCCATAATGTGAGAGTCTGTGACCACTCACCTTGAAGTAGACAATGTATAAAAAGTAACCAAATACCACATGCCTTGACTTGACTGTATATAATAAATATATTCTATAATCACTAATCATTTGAACTTATATATTTGAACTGAAAATAATTTTTAAGTTCAAAGCAGCATTGGCATATACTCCTTGTACTCTGAAATATTTTCTTTGTTAAAAAACAATGGTGTAAGGACTTAAAAGGACTGGGGATATAGCTAGTGGTAGAGAATTTGCCTAGCATTGGCAAAGCCCTGGGTTCAATCTCTAGCACCAAAAAAGAAAGGAAGGAAGGGAAAGAGAGAGGGAGAGAAAGAAAGAGACAGAGACAGAGAGACACACAGATAGCAAGGGAGGGAGGGAGAAGAAAGAAAGAAGGAAAAAGAAAGGAAGGAAAGAAGGAAGGAAGAAAAGAAATAAGTATCAATAAATAAACCATTGAGACCAGGCATGGTGCTGTACACCTGTAATTTCAGCACTTGGGAGGCTGAGGCTAGAGGATCACCAGTTCAAGGCCAGCCTGGGTAATTTAGCAAAATCCCATCCCCCAAAATATAAAATAAATCAATGGGCTATTGATCAGGCAGGAAAAAGAGTCTATCAAAAGCCAAGGAATAACAAACCCAAGATTCAGAAGTGTGGTCTCTACAGTCAGAGGGAGGGGTCAAAAAAAGTCATGTCTACAGTCAGGGTTCCAGTTCTCCCATTGAGTCTGGGGTCAAGGACATAGGTTAACATTTTAAAACTATGTGATAATGAAACACAAAATCCTGTGTGCAAAGCAGTGATAAGGAAACCCCTCAACACTGCATGGGTGCCATTTGCTGTTATGGGACGTTGGATTTATTATTATTATTATTATTTTTTAATCATCATACGCTTTTTTTATTGTTTTATTATTCATATGTGCATACAAGGCTTGGGTCATTTCTCCCTCCTGCCCCCACCCCCTCCCTTACCACCCACTCCGCCCCCTCCCTCTCTCCCCCACCCCCTCAATACCCAGCAGAAACTATTTTGCCTTTATCTCTAATTTTGTTGTAGAGAGAGTATAAGCAATAATAGGAAGGAACAAGGGTTTTTGCTGGTTGAGATAAGGATAGCTATACAGGGAGTTGACTCACATTAATTTTCTGTGCTTGTGTGTTACCTTCTAGGTTAATTCTTTTTAATCTAACCTTTTCTGTAGTTCCTGGTCCCCTTTTCCTATTGGCCTCAGTTGCTTTTAAGGTATCTGCTTTAGTTTCTCTGCGTTAAGGGCAACAAATGATAGCTAGTTTTTTAGGTGTCTTACCTATCCTCACCCCTCCCTTGTGTGCTCTCGCTTTTATCATGTGCTCAAAGTCCAATCCCATTGTTGTGTTTGCCCTTGATCTAATGTCCACATATGAGGGAGAACGTACGATTTTTGGTCTTTTGGGCCAGGCTAACCTCACTCAGAATGATGTTCTCCAATTCCATCCATTAATTGATAAACACTCTCTACCCACCTTTTTTGCCACACTCCCCTTTCTTCCCCTTAGATTCAGCAATGGCTCAGGCCACTGTTTGCTCTGTGTTGTTGACAGATACAAAACCTATTGTACTGATGCCTCTGCCCTTTCTCTTTCCTGGAATAGGGAGGCACCCAAGGACATGGCAGAAGGTGGCAAAGGACAGTTACATTATGTACCCTGACACCTCTGCATGCCCACTTGCTTCTTCTAAGGACAGTGCCCAACACTGTCCAATTAAAGCAAGGTCTACCCTTGCAATCTGACCCACCATCCATCACACTCCAGCATATCACCTTGTATCCACCAACCTTACCACCCCAGCCCTGACCCTGGAAGGAGTCCTTGGTCTTCCGTGTGTGAGTCTGTGTGCTGGTTGTGTTTGTGCATTTCCTAGCCCTGTCTTTGTAAGGTCTGTAGATGTTCAGTGTCCATATCTCCAGTGTCCTACCAAAGCAGGGAACAGCCACCTGAGGCCCCATCCACCTGTGTCTCACCTTCATGAAGGATTTGATGAGGCCTCTTCTGTCCATCTGCAGAATGTTCCCCACAAAGGGCAGAGGATAAGGGCCTGGAGGGAGGCGGCCACGATTCTTTGGGTGGCCCCTGACCAGAAGAAGCAGGAGGCCCGTGAGGAAAGCAAAGAAGAGGAGGACACTGAACTCCATGGTCCCAGTCTGACTGCTGTCCACCTTGCTGAAGCCTGGAGCTGGACCTTTTAGCCTGAGCCTGTTTCCACACCCAGTTATGTAACTTCATCTATTCCCCGCCTCCCCTCTGAACATTGTCTATGAGTGCGAACCCAGATGAGAGGTGCTGGGATCCCATACTTCTTGCTTGGTCATCATGTGACCTGCTCATACCCTAGCTCATTACCTCCTCCCTAGATGTTAGCAGAGATCTAAGAAACAGACACTAAAGTACAAATGAGTGTATGAGTTTGTGTGTGTGTGCATATGGGTGCACATGTCTATTTTGTGGCTGTGGGTGCTCATGAGCTTGCCTACTTAGTTTCATCTGTTTGTTTATACTGGTGTGCATTCATCTATCCAAGCCATCTTGCAACGGTGTGTGTGAGCTGGTGTGTTTTTTATATGTGAAGGGATGTGTCATTTGCAAATGTGAGTATTCAGTGTGTGCTTCTGTGGATGAAACTGGGTGTGCTTATTTGCATATCCTTGCAAGTGTGGAAGCTTCTGTGTATGTCTTTGGTTTCTATGGGAAGGTGTGTTTGCACTGAGTAGTGAAGGTGGTGGTTATGTGTGTTCCTGTGTGTGAATCTTTGTGCTGGTTGTGTTTGTGCATTTCCTAGCCCCTGTCTTTGTAAGGTATGTAGCTGTTCAGTGTCCATGTCTCCAGTGTCTTCCTTTCACTCTGCTCTGTGACAGCCAAAGGTGGGAGTGAGGAAAGAAATAAAAAGAGATACAGAACTGCTGAAACCCAGAATTAGAGGCAGTCAGGTGACTGTCTTCACAGTGCAAGAAATTCTCTGCCTTTCTCTTGTTCTCTCTCTCTGGCTCAAAGTTTGTTTTTCCTTTTAGACCCCGAGCTCCAGGAATGGAGAGACCATGACTTAGTCTGTTTTCTGCTGTAACAGAATACCAGAGACTGAGTAATTGAGAATGAACAGAATTTCTTGAGGTGGTTCTGAGTATCTGAGAGCATGGTGTAGTATCTGTTGAGAGCCTTTAAAAATATTTTTGTTATTGTTGTACTTGAGGTACATTGTGGCATGTGCAAAAGTTCTTACAATATATCAGAGCAGAATTCACCCTCTTCCATCATTCTCCTTTATTGTCCCTTCCCCCATTCCTGGAATAGTTTCAATAAGCCCCCCTTTTCCATTTACCTACATGTATACATAATATTTCCATCATATTCACCCTCCTGCTCTCTTTCCTTGTATCTCCCCCATAGGTACCAACACCCCTGACAGGACCTGTTTTGCCTTCCTGTTCTGTTTTTGGAAAAAAATGACATTTTTCTTTTTTTTCCATTTATTGTTTTTTTTTTGTTAAACTCATGTGCTTAACTTATGAATTAAAACTTTATCATATGGATACATATATATATAACATGAAAAAAACATAGAATGTATATGGTTCAGTACTAAAGTTTCAGATACACACTGGGGTTTTGGAACATTTCTCCCACGCATGAGGAAGAACTAGTGCATATAGGTTGTTAGTTGCAGTATCTTAAGGCAGTTAAATTTCAAGATGAGCTTTGGAGGGTATATTCAAAGTGCAGAAAATGGAGTTTAGGTTTATTTGGGGGAGGGACTGGGGTTGAACTCAGGGTTTCATGCTTGCAAAGCAGGTGCTCTACCACTTGAACTACACCTTCAGTCTATTTTGTCTAGTTATTTTGGAGATGGTAGTCTCCCAATCTCAGACTTTCAAGTAGCTAGGATTACAGGTGCAAGCCATTGGTGCCTTGCTGGGGTTCAGGGTTATTGATGTTCCAGTCTTCTCTACCCTTGCAGTGTGTCCTCATCTACACAGATTCTAGCAGGATCAGTCCACAGTGGCCAAGTATGAGAATGAAGGTTTTCTGTCCACCTGTATTGGTGTAGGCCTCGCTATCAACTTCTCTCATTTGAAGAGACCTCCCTCTCTTTTAAAGGGAAAGAGAGGACTGATGGAGTGGCTCAAGCAGTAGAGCACCTGCCTAACAAGCATGAGGCCCTGAGTTCAAACCCAAGCAAAGCCCTCACTGGACCCAGGACCCTGACTCTTGCAGTTGAGTATAATGGTGTGTACTCCTTTGACCCAAGAGGAGGGGCAGGAAGACATGCTGTTTTTTTAGAGTGGAATCTGTCCTTTTCTGACCTTGGCAAGGTGCCACTATAGACTTCCCTGAACCCAGGACCTCACTTCTGCTGTGCTTGTTGAACTGGCACTGGAAGTGAGTTATCATTCCACCCTCAGAACTTGTGATGGGAAAGCATGAAGCGTTTTATACACACTAATTCACTGAGTTCTCGAACTTTGGAGGAAATACTGTTGCCTTTTCCATTTTATAGGTGGAGGGAATGAATCACGGAGAGGTTCAGGGTCTTATCCAAGGTCCTAAACCCACACTGTCATCCAATGTAGTAGCCATGTGATAGACATGGCCATTTAACATTAGAAATATAATGTGATCAATAAAATTTAACTTTAACTTTAAAATCAATACTCAACCCTGCTATTGGGAACCTTCTAAGTCTGTTTCAAAAAACAGAGATACATAAATCATCTTGTTCCATGGTACAGTTCATGAACGCTAAATACAAATTAAAGATATTTGAAGAAAATTTAGGGTCCCAGTTAAGATAGACTAGAATTTCAGAAATACACACCAGATCTCAGACATGGTATGGAAAAATATGATGAGAGGCAGAAACAGGAGAAACCCAGAGACAGAGAGGAATTCAGAGATATACAAGGGTATGAAATGTAGAGACAGACAGAAAGACATGGCCCAAAAGTAACAGAGAGACAAGAAGAGCAAAAGAGGGAGGTAGAGATAAAAGGCACAGGGACAGATGGGCCTAGAGGCTGAAACTGTCACCTTGTCCTGCAGCTGAGGGACTCATGGAAACCTTGGAACTGAGGAACCCATAGGGCTTTGTCTAGCAAACACACCCCCAAGTCTTGTGTTGATAAAGGCTTTAAAAAGTGAAAAGTGGGCTAAAGCAGAAGAATGAAAAAATTAGAGAAGATAAACCAATTGGGATTATTAAATATGTATATACATAGAAATATCACAAGGAAACTCCCTGTGTAGCTACCTTTATCTCAAACAAGCTAAAATGTCATGTTTTTCATTTTCTCTTTTCTCTTCTACAAACTTGGATAATAGGAGGGCAGAACAAGTCCTTCACAGAGAAGAGATCTGGCACCAGTGGGAGGGTTGGTGATGGGGAAAGGGGGTAGTAGGATGTAAAAAATGTGTACTCATTTACAAATGCAAAAATGATACTTCTTGAAACGACTCCAGGAATCGGGGAGGGGTATAAAGAAGAACAGTAGAGGAAGTAAATTTATGTATAATATATTTGATACATTTTAAGAACCTGTGTAATGCCAGAATGCACCCCCAACCCAGCACAACAATAAAGGACCAAAAAAGTGACAAGTGGGGCTAGCATCTATGAAAGTGCTTGTTTTCATATCTGAAAGTGTGCTTATATTATTGTTTTAGCTTTTAACAGCTTTATAGAGTAAAAAATGGGATGCAATACCCTGCATGCTTTCAAATTGTACACTTTGGTAAGTTTGACATATTGTACACTCATAAAACCTTCATTGCAGTTATGATAAAAAACACATCCACTACTTCAAAAGTTTCCTCCTGCCCCTCTGTGACTCCTGTGTCACCCAGTCCAAGTTCTCACTCATAGTTTGATCTGTTATTGGTCACTACATTGCATTTCTAGAATTTTATAAAAAAGGAATCATACAGTATGTACTCTCTTTTCTATGCCCCCCCTTTTTATACTATTCTGAGGTCTGTGGCAGGTGGAATAATGACTTCCCAAATATGTGCAAATCCTAATCCCCCAAATCTGGGGATTTTCTCATATGGCATATAAGAGCAAAAAGCTCAGGAACACAAAGATGATCCAAGTAAACCTAGGTTATAATCACATGGCTCCTTATATGATGGAGGGGAGATCAAAGTGTGTAGTAACAGATATATGCTGGGAAGCAGGAAGCTGCAGTGATGCAGAGAAAGGGCCACCAGCCCAGGGCAGCTCAGAAAGGCTGGAAAAGACAAGGAGACTTCCAGGAGGAAGGCAGACCTGCAAACACCTTGACTGGAACACAGTGAGATTCATTTGGGACTTCCAAGCTCCAGAATTACAAAAGAATAAACCACACTGACTTTAGCCATTCAGTTTATGGTGATGTATTACAACTAGTGTAAGGTTCATTCGTGTTCTTGCAGATAACAGCACTCGTGTCCTTTTATTATTGAGCTTTTGACATTGTATGGAGACTCCACAGTTGGATTACTCCTTCCTTAGTTGGCGGACATTTAAGTGAGTTCCAATTTGGGACTCTTATAGTTAAAGCTGCTTATGAACATTTGCAGACATGTCTTTGTACACACATAACTCTCATTTCTCCTGAGTAAATACCTCCTTGTAGATGGCTGGGTTATATTATCAGTCTGAAAACTATATATGCAACTGCCAACCTGGTTTCCAAAGTAATTGTAAAATTTTGCATTCCCAACAGCAGTATAAGAGCATTTCGGTTGATCCATGTCTTTGCAGGCACAAGGTCTTTTGTCCTTTTAGCCAGAAGAGAGGTATGTAGTGACATCTCATCGTGATTTGAATTGGAGGGCTAGAAGAGTAGCTCAAGTGATAGAGTGCCTGCCTAGCAAGTGTGAGGCTCTGAGATCAAGCCCCAGTACCACCAAAAATAATAAGCAATTTGAATTTGCATGTCATAGTGACTAATGATGCTGAGTGTCTTTTCATATGTTTGTTTGCCACATGTATGTCATCTTTAGGGGAAACTCTGGTTAAATCTTTTATTTCATCAATTTTTAAATGGAGTTATTTGTTTGCTCAAATAAGTTTAAAGAGCTCTTTGTAGATTCTAAATTCAAGTCCTTTGTCAGATATGTGATCTATAAATATTTTGTCCTGGTATGCTACTTGTCTTTATAT